CCTCGTCTGAGCTTTGGTGTGCCAGGGGCCACACCTGCCCTGTTCACCTTTGCAGGTGAAGACAGGCTTGCGATCGAGGGAGGGAGGGTTGAAGGCCAAGGTCTCCTGTACATTGCAAGAGCCCTGGTGGCATCTCAGCGTAGAAACCCGTTCCTATTCTGGTAGTTCAGACATCTCACCGGGCCTCAGTCTGTGGGTCTCCCTGCTCAGCCATCCGCGATCTTCGTATCTCATACACACTCCTTCCCTCCTTTGCCTTTTCTCGGCTTCCCAGTGCACTTGGACTTGGGGAGGGGGAGAGAATCGAGCGCCCGGTCGAGCATCTTGAACCTCCCGCCCACCTTCGAGCCCCGGGAAACCGGATAACAAGGCTCGAGAGACGTGTGTGAAGCAGGGCCTCGGGCCTCCCGTGTCCCCTGGGCGATGCCACCGGGCAGGTTCCTTAAGTCGAGCTCCCTAGTTGGGGAAGCAGTGGCTGTGCGGGTTCCATCTGCAGCTGGATGAGGAGCTGAGTTTGGACCTACCTGCTGCCAGGGGAGGAGGGGGTGCGCGCTGGGGAGAATGGGAGAGGGGGGCCAGTGAGGAACCTGTCCCCAGGCATCTGTCTCTTTGGCTCTCTGTGCAAAGAACAAATCCTAGCTTGTCACCGGCAGGGGCGAGGCAGCTCACGGCCCCCGCGTGCCATCCAGGCTCCCTGCGCCACCGTCTGATGAGGCAGAGGATGAAAGTCACCGTGGTGTAGACCTCTGCAATCTGGTGCCTTCTGACACGCTGGCCCTCTTTTTTCCAGCAAACAGGGGCTTCCTGTGTACAAGCAGGGCTTGGGCGCCGGGGAGTTTCAGCACGAGGCAAGTTTCCCGTCCCTAAGGAGCTTATATTTTGGTGGGGAGGCCGTGGCGTAAATTGCGGCAAAGCCCCTCTTGGGGACCCTCTCTGAGGAGGCCGGAAGGGTGGGACAGCCGTGGCCACGGAGGAGAACGGTCCGGGCCAGTGCCTCTTGACCTGGAGCGGGCATACAGATTACTTGAGGGTCTTAGGAAACACAGATTCTGACTCAGGAGGTCTGGGCTGGGGCCTGAAATTCTGCATTTCTACCGGCTCCTGGATGACGCTGACGTGCGTGGTCCACGGACCATACTTTGAGTCGCGAGGGAAGAGGGAAGCCTCGGTTTCCTGCTACGTACGTGCTGCTGTGCTGAGGGTGACGTGGGGACCCGTGGGAAGTCCACCAGGAACAGAGCTGACCCTGTGGCCTCTGAGGGAGGTGCTGTGCCCTCCCGTAGGCCCAACAGCAGATCTGAGCCTTGTTAGTAGGCCAGCCAGGCTGTAGATCCCTACTGCCCCGGGGGTGCGGCGCGAAACCCTTGGTTATCTCGGGGCAAATAACTCAGCATCCTCTTGGCCACTGCCCTGGCCCTTGGCTCCCCACTGATTCGTTTGGGGTCAAGGTAAAGGCCCCAGGGCAGTCGCAGAGCCCTGCACGGGGGGTGAGCAGCCCCAGACATTGGCTCAGGGCCAGAGCAGGTATGGGCCGTCCTCAGAAACAAGCTGGAAAAGCCCTCCCCATCCGCAGAGATTCGGAGATTGGAGGGTTTTGGAGGCAGAAGATGTGCGTGGGGTGGGGGGAGGGTCGCTAACCCACGGTTGACGGGCTTAAAGGTTAATCCAGCATGTGACCAAGAAGGGCTTGGGCTTGCTGGGAGGGCTCAGACGTCAGGACGCTGCCGCGTTACCCAAAAGAGACACTTCAGATTTCTGACATGTTGTGCATGCCGTCAGGATCTTCAGAAGATTGTACATTAAAGATAAAAAGTT